AAAAAAAAAAAAAAAAAAGAAGAATAACTAGACATACTGACAGTCAACGTTAATGTAGAATGCCAGCATTATTTATACAGTTAGAAATTTATAGTACTGGAGCTAGCAATTTACAGTATTGGATAAACCAGTTATTAAATGTAAAACTCATGAAATTCAACTTCTTAAAAGCTAATTATAAGTTACAAATTAAAGTCTTACTTAACTTTTGACAGTATAAACAGTATTTTTCTTTTGCTGCTTAGAGAAATTCACAAAGTGACTGTCATCATTTTCTAAGCATGTATACAGTCATCCCTCAGTATCCTCAGGGGACTGGTCCCAGGAACCCCCACCCCCATAACAAAATCCACAGATGCTAAAGTCCCTTATATAAAAGAGCAGTATTTGCATATAACCTATATTTGCATATAGGCTACAGCACTACAGCACGGTATGACTACATATCACTTCGTCTGCACAGATTCAGTACAGTGCTTGGCAGATGACAAATTCAAGTCTTACTATTTGATACTTTCTGGGATCCCTCACTCATTATTTCCTTTCTTTTTTCTTCTTTTTTAATTCTCACCCAAGGATATGATCCTATTGATCTTTAGAGAGAGAAAGGGGCAGAGAGAGGAAGGGAAGGAGGGAGAGAGGGAGAGAGAGAAACACTAATTCATCACCTCCTGTACACGTCTCAATGGGGGATCGAACCCGCAACTTAGGTATGTATCCTGACCAAGAATCAAATCCAAGACCTTTTGGGGCACTGGACGATGCTCAAACCAACTGAGAGATCCAGCCAGGGCCCCCGCCTCATTATTTTCAATCCATGTTTGGTTGAACCCACAGATGCAAAACCCACAGATGTCAAGGGCCAGTTATAGTATCTTCCCACAAGGTGCTTAACAAAATGCTCAGGAAAAATTTATATTACACAAAAACATAAATACACATACACATACCATAGTAAACAATACAACATCTTTGTGTATTATACCATACCTGTATCAGCTTCATGTTCTTTATTCTCATCTGTAAGGGGGTTGTCATGAAGCTTCAAATAGATCTCTATAGCAATTCTTGCTGCCTTGAAGTAAAATGGATGCTGTCGAAGTACATCTTCTAGTTTTAATAAGTCCACATATGATCTAAGGGTAATCTTCCTCATACAGTACGTATGAAAGTCAAACTGGTCATCAGTGATTTCTATAAAATGCTAACAAAATTGTCTTTTTTATTATACTGAAATACAGCGATGTCAAAGAAAACTACAAAAATCAAAGCCTTGGAATTACTTGTGTCCTAGTCATGAAAAAAATTAGTAAAATAAAAAGTTACAATCATTCAATATAAATACTCTGCATATCAAATAAGCAAATACAATTGGCCATCACCTAGCAAAGTATATGGCATACATGAGGTACTGAATTACTTGTTCAATGAAAAGGAAACACAATGCTTTAAAACATATATTTATTCCTTCCTTAATTATACTTAAATAAAGCTATCAAGACAAATCAAACAGTATACACAATGATGCAATATAGATTTACATGTTAAACATTCAGTTTTTATGTTCAGAATGATTTGCAAAGTATAATATGCAGTATTTGGAAATTTTTCTGAGAATACAAATCTGAATGCTATGCAATGGTAATACTGGTATGTAGAAGAGAAATCAATTAGCAAGTAAATCAAGCAACCAGTAACTAACACAATTCAACTAAGCTCTGGGGTTCTCTACTTAACAACAAAACAAGCATGAAATTATATAAACTATTTTTATCTGGGAAAAACACAAAAAAATCAAAGAGGACTAAGAAAACAATGAATTTATCAAAAATAAGGAATTACACAGGCTACTGAAAGATTGTAAAAAGGCTTCAAAGCTCTTATCTCATAAATATCAAGGGTATATGGCATCACTGATCAAATCTATGACAGTTTTCTAGGATAACTTGTTGACCTTTGTATGTATTACTAAAGAAACAGCATCTGTTTGAAAGAAACATTAAAAAATAAATCAATGCAACATAAGATACAAACTTTCCATAAAGATTTTTACACAATTCTTGCAGGAAGAGTAGAGAATAGGGAAATCCACAGAAAATGTAGCCTGTAATATTTCCACTATAAAAACTGAAAAATGTAAATACTAATATTTAGAAATCACTTACTATGACTTATAAAGAGAAAAGAAAAAACAACAGGACTTGCCCCAAATACTTAATATTTAACAGAAAAAAGTGAGAAACTCATATGTTCAGGGTACTTACTCTCTCAATCTCATGACATTTCTTAAGTGCTTCACCAAATTTATTCATTGTCTTATAAGCCTGGGCACATTCTGTCTGGAACCACATGCATTGCATTTCATTCAAATTCTCTACTGCTGATGTTCCTTCCTATGTGAAAATCACAGATATTCAAAACCATTTATCTTACCAAATACATTATTCTACCACAGGATTTCAGAAAAAGATGGTCAAATGATCTGAATTCTTTCAAAATCATTCTGTTTTTTAACCCATTCTCAGAGTAAGAGGGAATAGTTAATATGTGAAAGAAACTGAAATTATATTTCTAACCATTAAACAAAATAGGTACCTTTGTAAACAATCAAAATATCTACATAATTGGGGTTGGAGAGTAACATAAGCAATAGAACACTAGCACATAGCAGGTATTCAATTAATATTAGTTTCCTTCACCCCTAAAAAATTCCTCTGAACCCCCATCAATATAAATCGGAGTTTCAAAACCCATTATACAACCATCTAAGAAGGAAATAATGTTTTATACTAATATCGATTTTTCCCCCCGATAAAGTGATTTAATTAAAATCCTGACTATTTTGGTATTAAAAATATTAGGAACAAACTTTGAAAAATAAGGTATACAAGCAACTGTTTATTCATAAGAAAGAACATTAGCTGTACAAACCCTTGTAAACTTTGAGCACATTTCTTCAGCCTCCTTTATCAGATTGGCTTTTAGCATATACTTTGCACACTTGGAGTTGATAAATCTGTCTGCTGTGTCCAAAGCCTGGGCCTCATCCATCCACCTCGCAGCTTCTTTAATATTCCCAGCATGCTTACAGGGTACAAAAACAAAATAAACCGGTCAGTATGCTAATATTACTATGCAAGTAATTAAGTTACCTGTTGATAAATGACTAAAACTACAAATGAAAGAAAGGTATTCTTCCGACTCTTAAGACCCTAATCAAAGTAGATGCATAAATTCTGACATAATGTAAGTTCTGATACCTTTCTGGCCATGTAGAATACAGACTCTCTAATAGTCAAGACTTGTTTTTAACATTACTATCTGCTGTTATAACCTCATTGCCTACAACAGTACCTGGCACATAATGAATACTCAAAAATAATGGCTGAATCAAAGAATAAATAATAATTGAAATCTTTAAGTGAGAACAACATAATTCAATGTAAAGGTCATAAAAGGCAAAGGGATGACCAAATTTCTACCCAAAGGAACCATGAAACATTACTGATTAGATCATTAGTAGACATTCCACAATGACCTTCATTCTAATTCAACTAAATAGTCCATTTGGCAAAGCCACAAAACATTTGAACATAACCTGACTTTGAAAAGTGCTTTTAAAACATTACTTAATTTCTTTATTTTTCGCAAATAAATTATTGGTTTGTAATCTCTTTCCCAAGAACTTTTATTACTAAATTATATTTGTATTAAGAGCCAATTTCTTTTAAGATAATGCTAAACGATTAGAATATGATTAGAAATTCTCATGCAAAACCCAAGAGTTAAAGAGGCAAAAGAGATAATATGTAAAATTCACAGCAGAAACTTTAGTTTAATTCATTATCAGATACTGATATATGACCATACTCAAATGTTAACAGGAACAAATATTTCACAGCAAATATAATTACTTTCGATTACCTATACTCTTACTACTTAAAACCAAGAAAATGAGGTATATGTGTGTGAATGTATGAGAATATATAGTATGAATAACCATTTATAAGTATATGTGTGTATATAGAAATGAGTGATCCAATTAGCATGACCATGACAAGTCTAAAAGTAATCAGACTGAGTGTGCTATGCTTGTTACTTCATGCTTTATAGGCCATCAAATAGTCATTGTTATTATAGCATTAAGAATCTAAATACAGAAAAATTTTTTATGTCTCATTACCTTATAAAATAAAAAGAGAATAGATTTTTACCTTATAGATTTTAGCTTTCACAAGAAAGAGTTCTATCAGTGTAGGCGTACTTTCAATAGCAGTATTAATGTATTCGAGAGCAATAGATGGCTGACCAATTTTGTCATAATGTTGTGCCAAGTAGTATTGAACCCAAAGTAATGTGGTTGGTGGTTCCTCTTTTCCATCATCTTTAAAAAGTGGGGGAGGCAGGTGGGAGAGGAAAGAAACCAAGATTAGTCATTATATATATACATATATATATATATATATTATATATATTAAGAGGGTACCCACCTCAAAATAGGTACTCTATTAATAAAGAAAGTAATTTGAACCATGTTATTTATATATCTAGCTATAAAATTACCCCTAAATTTACAAGATCTTTGGGTGGGACCACCACACTTTCTGTTCTGCATCAAGATAGCCCCTAGCACAATGCTTTGCATTTAATAAGAAATTTACATAATAAACAGCAGATAAATGAAATCAAAGATATAACAAATTACCTAAAAGGAAACTGAAAGGGGTGGGGAAAGACAAGTTGTACTAGAACTATGAGAGTGTATTGACCAGGGAGTTATATATAAGAAGAAAAAAAAAATCAAAAGAAACCTTTCATTAATGTGAGATTTTAAAAAAAAAAGAAGGCCCAACTGTTTAATTGGGTTTCTAGCTATATACTAAACTATACATATATTTGTGACATGGTTATTTTAAATTCTGGTGATTATTATACTCTAATATTATGCTGAATATGCAACAATTCATAATTGGGGTAGAATAAAAACTATACCCAGGAAAGAGATAAGTAAAAATGCTTATTCAATGTTTTAGTTCATAATTTAATTTTTATATACTCATAAGAAAATGTGTAAGTTAAATATACAACCCACACATTAAAAAGTGCCTTTTTAACACAAATTTCTAAAATCAGAGAATTGTTATTTGCTTTCAAAGAAAGCAATAGATTGCTTTTTTTTTTTTTTTCTGGTAAAAGTAGGATGGCTCAGTGGACAAACAATAGGAGTGGAACTCACCAACTCCCGATCTGATAGATCTGCAACTAAAGTGCTGCATATTCTTGGGCATGTCATTGAACCTCTTCCACATTTGTAAAATATGTAGGAATATGCTGATAATCAAAGGAATATTATGATGATTAACCAATGAAACCATGGTAACGCCTTCTAAAAAGTATTATTAAAATTAATCTGAGACCTAGAAATAATGATCAACCCAATAGCAAGGAGAACCCCAGGTCCCATACTGGGCTTCCCCACTGCAAGAACCAGGGCTCCTTGGGAAAAACAATTGATTCCAGGTACATTATGGGTAGTGTACAAGATAAACTGGAATAATCTTGTCATACACCAAATTGCAAAGAAGCTATCTACTACCATGGTATAAGAAGGCTGGAAGCATTTAAAACTGCAATGATTTAAAACAGCAAATATGTTTAAATCCGAGAGTTCATAATATCTTTAAGACATGTACTAGGCATCTTTGAAGGATACTACTAAACCAATTCATTCTTTTGAAAACTGGTAAAGAGAAAAAAGGTAGAAGAGGCAGGGGAGAAAAGGCAGCATTTATCTTGCTTTTCCTATACACCATGAAATATTGGCTAAGCACAAACAGATGAAAAAAATCTCGTTTAAGGTTAAAAAAAAAAAAAGAATGATGGAATATCACCAGTTTGTAATTCCTACCAGTTGTTAACATGCATAACAAATACTACACGCCTCCTGATGGAAAAAACACCACCACCACCCATGAAATTCTGCTCACTGCTCTTATATTAAAACAAAACAAAAGCAAACAACCCCCCAAAATACTTAAATCTCATCAAGCATCTGGTCAGACCTGTCCATTAGAAGTTTCTGCGATGATTGACAGACATGTCCTGTATCTGCCCTGTTTGATATGGTAGGCAGTCTGCTTTAGATAGCTATTGAGCAGTATTTAAAACGTGGCTACTATAAATGAGGAACTGAATTTTCATTTTAATAGCCATATGTGGCTAATGGTTATCATATTAGACAAAACAACTGTACGCCCAACTACCAATTTAAAATAAATTCAGCCCGGCCGGGCATGGCTCAGCGGTTGAGCGTCGACCTAGGATCCAGGCAATCCAGGTTCGATTCCCGGTCAGGGCACATGCCCGGGTTGTGGGCTCGGTCCCCAGTCGGGACCGTGCAGGAGGCAGCCGATCAATGACTCTCATCATCGATGTTTCTATATCTCTCTCTCCCTCTCCTTTCCTCTCTCTGAAATCAATAAAGATATATTTAAAAAAATAAAAAATAAATAAAAATAAAAATAAAATAAATTCAGAGAACAGAGGAATAACATGTTAAGCAACACCATGAGGGTGCATTCAGCAAAATATAGACTGCAGGAAAACTCAAGAAAAACATCTAATTTTTTTTTTAAGTTTCTTTATCTTTATTGTTGAAAATATTACAGATGTCCCCCTTTCACCCCCATTGATCCCCTCCACCCCGCATCCACCCCACCCTCAGGCTTTCCCCATACCAATGTCTGTGTCCATGGGTTATGCATATAAGCATATAAGTTCTTTGATTAATCTCTCCCTACCCACTCCCCCCTCCCCACCTTCCCTCTGAGATCCCTCAGTTTGTTCCATGCTTCTATGTCTCTGGATCCATTTTGTTCATCAGTTTGTTTTGTTTATTATATTCCACATATAAGTGAGGTCATGTGGTATTTGTCTTTCTCTGACTGGCTTTTTCACTTAGCATAATACTTTCTAGTTCCCTCCATGCTGTGCCAAAGGATAAAAGATCTTTCTTTTTTATAGCTGCATAGTATTTCATGGTATAAATGTGTCACAACTTTTTTATCCACTCATCTACTGATGGGCATTTGGGCTGTTTCCAGATCTTAGCTATTGTAAATTGCGCTGCTATGAACATAGTGGTGCATAAGTTCTTTGTGATTGGTGTTTCAGGTTTCTTAGGATATATTCCTAGAAGTGGGATCACTGGGTCAAATGGCAGATCAATTTTTAATCTTATTAAAAATTTCTTTCACAAGCAAATTGCAGGAAGAAGAGAAGATGGAGGGGAACCTATAGATTAAAAGAGAGTTAAGAAACATATCAACCATATTCAAAGTATAGATTTCATCTGGATCTTCAAACTTCAAAAACAAAAGAAAAAAATGACATGTCTAAGGTACCTGGAAATATAAGCATGGACCTTTCTTTCTTTGAAATTAAGAAAGTATTAATGTTCAGGTGTGGTGATATTATGGTTACAATCTTTAGAATATTAAAATATTCATAATGAAATGATGTGATGTTTGGGATCTGCTTCAGAGTAACATGGCAATAGAAGAAAGTAGGTAAGAGTATAAATGAAATAAGTTTGCTCATGAATTAAAAATTGCTGGAGCTGGGTAGTGGGTAAATGGATAATCATTATATTATTACATCTAGTTTTGGAGATGTTTTTAAATTTTACCTAAAATGTTTTTAAATAAGCTAATGTGATTCTCTTCCTACCAAATATTTTCACACAATGTTCAAAATAATGCATCTCTAGCTTAAAGGGGGAAAAAAGGTTAAATATACTAAACTTACTGACTAAATAATGAACAATACTGACCTTATAATTAAGAATTTCATAATACATTAAAAATTTCAAGATATTTTTTTAAACCAAAACTTGAGCACTTACCATTGGGGTTAAATAACCGGCAGCTTTTTAGAGAGGTTTCATAGCCTACTACTAATTCTTCTATGATTGCCACCTGGAGTACAAATAACAAGCACACTTTAATGAAAAAATATATATATCTATATAGTTACTATTTCTGTGCAAAATGTGTTTTACTATTAAAGGGCTAAATAAACATTCACGCAACTTTTATAAATCTCTTAACCTATGGATAAAAATTTTAAAGCAAGTGCCCAGCCAGTATGACTCAGTTGGTTGAGCATCATCCCATGTACCAAGAGGTCACCAGTTCAGTTCCCAGTCAGGGTACATGCCAGGGTTGTGGGCTCAATCCCCAGTAGACGGTGTGCAGGAGGCAGCCAATTGATGTTTCTATCTCTCTCCCTCTCCCTTCGTCTCTCTCTAAAATCAGTAAAAACATATTTTTAAAAAGTTTAAAAGTAAACCATATATTTTTGAAAGTGTGCATTAAGACCTAACTTTCTAAAACTTTACTGGCAACTCCTTTCCCTGCTAGAAAACAAGCATCGAACTGAACTAGAAATCAGGAAAAGGTTGGAGAGAAAGAGGATAATGTTGGGGATGATTTTTATCTCAGTTTGTTTTTATCTCAAGCCATATAAATAACACTCAAGTTAGCATTTGCTCTTCAAGAATCAAAATTAAATATGTGAAAAGAGAAATTCCGTAAGTAGATGATAGCATCAATGCCCAATTTCATAATCCGGGGGAAAGCATTAATAAAACCAACATGGAACAGTGCCTGGGTTTCTGAAGTTTAGGAGAATGAGTGGCTGTCTAGGTTCTGGTTTCTCCTGAGTAATGACTATACTACTTGTTCCTGGCTTCCTAAGAGCTCTGTGAATACTTTTAATTTATTAATTCCCTTCTTTGCTAATCCACCTATAATGGATTTGTTACTACAGAAGCTCTCTTAAATGACCTCAATTTAACTGATCCAGCAAATTAACACCAGCTCTCTCCATTACCTCAGAAAACTGTGAGGACTGAATGGCCACAGCTAGGTTATTCTGGTGCACCCATGTTCTTCTGCTCCCACAAGATGAGCTACATGCTTACTAAGTATGTTTTCCCAAACCTGTTTGAATCAGTTGCATTTATTATCATCATTGCAAAACTTAATTTAATACTATGTAAACTTAAGAAATGAGAATAAAAAGAAAGAACTGTTTATATAAGTTGAATACTATGGAAAGACTCGAGGATAAATTAGATATTTTTAACTAATTTATATTTAAAGGAAACAACCATATATACCATAAAAATACACAGGGATTCCACAATTAAGACTGCTTTGCAAGCATCAAGTTCTTACTCTGCCCAAACTCAAAATAACAGACCACATTTTATAAATGTGATTTATGCAAGGAAAAAAAAGCGAAACAGTCATCAATAAAGCCCATGCCATGAGCCTCTCAACAAAAGACTGGCAAATAAGTGTACCTTATGTGCTTTAGGTTAGTGTTTAGCATGTTTAATTTGTCCCATCTTTCTGATTCTTCACTGTAACTGATTTTTTTTAATCCAACCAACATGTCTTGATGCCACTGTACTTGCAAGCAAAATAATCTAAATTAAGATCAAAACACCTTCTTAACAAGCATTTGAATATTGTAATATATAGCTAAAAGAGTAACTTAACTTACTGGGACAGCAAATAAATTCTGACAGAATTTTTTTTCTACCAAATAAAAAAGGAGAAAGATTACTAAGCTAAAACTTAGTTTAAAAAAAGAAATCACTTCTGAGTTTTACCATGAGCAGGAATTAGAGAAAATATTGAAGAAATCACTAACTTACCAACTTTTCATATCTACACTGACTTATTAAAGTATACAGAGGAAACAAAAGACAGAGAAAACAAATAAGCACTAAGTTATTTAGCTAAAGTGCCAGGCCGGGCGTGGCTCAGCGGTTGAGCAATGACCTAGGATCCAGGAGATAGTGGTTCAATTCCCAGATGCGGTGCCTGCCCAGGTTGTGGGCTCAATCCCCAGTCGGGGGCGTGCAGGAAGGCAGTAGATCAACGATGCTCTCATCACTGATATTTCTCTCTCTCTCTCTCTCTTCTCCCTCTCCCTTCCTCTCTCTGAAATCAATAAAGATATATATATTTTAAAAAAGTTATTTAGCTAAAGAAAGAAGAGGATGAAAAAGAAGAGGCACAGGAGCATTTAAACCACAAGCTAGAAAGACTGATACTAGACCCACAAAATGTGTACTATGTGCAGAGGTAACCAAGAATCAATTATTTCAACTACTAAGCAAAGAAATGAGAGTAAAAAAAAAATTTGTATTTTGCTTTACCTTTTCTTTATCTTTATATAATGACCTCAAAGTATTGAAGACTGGTGGACAACCTTTGCTGAAGTTCATCCTTAAGAACTTATCCAAACATTCCTTAAACTTCTCACCTTGGAAGAAAAAAATCCTGTTGATTTACATGTAACCAGACAACTCTAACAATGCTTACTAATATGCACACTCATATATATAAACCAAGAAAACTGTAAATCATATAATCATTTTTATTCCTTTGCAATTATTCTCACCAGATAAAAAGTTTAATGGCAGTCTTCTTGGCACCAGTCCCCTGGGATATTTAGTCCAGGCCTCCTCATAAATTTTTAGTCGTTCTAACATATTAGCTGCAGACAAAAAAAAAAATTCTTTTTATATGTAATTTTAACTATTATATTTTTCTAACAAATTACAAATTTCTCAAAGTATATAAAAATTATATTAAACAGAAAATTTGCAGATAGGAAATTATTTATAATCTAACCACTTAAATGTATCAACAATCATTTCAGAATATTTCCTTCTAATATTTTCTTTCACATTTTAAATACCTATACTCATATAAAACACATAACTTTCTTTATCCTGTTTTGTTCCAGGTAGCCTTTCAAAATCTGAGGACTGCTGTACTGTAGTTCTGAGAAAGGCTCAATTATTCTATTTCTATGTATGGCTTAACCACTAGCTTCTCCACTATTCTCTTCAACCTCTCCTTTTCTAACTTCTCTCTTCTAATTTACTTTGGAGCTTCTGGATCTGTCCCCTATCTTCCATTTCTCTTTCTTTTATATTTTCTCTTTTACTCTCAGGAGCTTTCCTCAGTTCATCAATCTTCTACTTCACTAATTTTCCCTCAGCTGTGGCCTCTCTTTTATTCAATCTATTAAGATTTTTAAGTCACTAACTGGTTTTCCATTTCCCAGATTCCTAATTGGTACTTTATCATCACTATTCATATTTCATCGCTGCAATTCCTTGTCCTCATCTTAGATTTCTCCATTATCTCTGCTCTCCCTTTTGCTAGCACTAATGATTACCATTCCTGTGCTGGTGTTCCTGGGGTATTAGAACATTCTGTTACAAAGTTTCTCCTGCATACATCAATATATCAGAAATGGATCAGTTCCATCTTGAGGGAAACATCAGATCATCTTGGCTGAGGAACAGGCAGGCTTATTTGTAGATGACATGTTTCTGGGTCTGTCCTCACAAGTGGGTTCTGTTCATGGGAGAGGGTGATAGGGGAAAGGGGGGGGGAGCAGGGAAAGGAGAAAAGTCTCTGGACCCAAGTTTACTTGAGTGATAGAAATTTAGTCCCTCTTCCCACATAAGAAAGTGATGTTCTTTCAGCTACATTCACATGTCCCGGGCAAGCCATTCTGCTGTGGCCACAGGTTACCACAGAGTTATGTTTGCTTCTTTCCTTCAGGGAGATCTACATTTCTGTCAATGGAAATTCCCTTTCATGCTTTCGATGCTTCTATAAGCATTTGTGAATTTTTAATTTAATTTTTTAAAAGATTTTTAATTGATTTTTAGAGAGAGGAAGAGGGGGCAAGAGAGAGAAACATCGATGTGAGAGCCACACATCAATGGGCTGCCTCCTGTACGCCCACTACCAGGCATTAAGCCTGCAACCCAGGCATGTGCCCTGACTGGGAATCAAACCAGCAACCTTTTGGTGCATGAGATGGCTCCCAACCAACTGATCCACACTGGCCAGGGATGCATTTGTGAATTTTTAAAAGTTGCTTCTAAATTTTTTTCTCAACTATTTCTATGAATTTGCATAGAAGAGAGGTTTCAGAAAATGCCATGTCTGCCATATTAAGTGGAAGTTTGCAAATGTACCTTTGTATGCAGATTCTGATCCAATTCTTAACCACTACTTTTCTAGTTATGTTTTTCAATGAGTTAATAAAATACACGTTAACAAAAGAAGCAATTAAAACTTAGAAAGTAAGTTTTAAACAATGCTACCTGGCTTGAGTGCCTTTTCCAGGCCTTTGTAATAGGCCCAGTTTTCAGGATTTCTCTCCTGTAATCCTCTATAAACATCAGCTGCATCTTCCAAACGACATAATTGCAACAGAAGTTCCCCTGATAAAAAAAAACAAATTAATTATTTTCTGGTTTTAACTTTTCCTCAAATTTTGAAATCTCTTCAATGTTGGGAAGTGGATGGGTTTGGTATCCTCCTGAGTTCCCAACTCCCTTCAACAAGACTATTTACCATGTAATTTTATGGTCTCTTTTTGAAGTTCATATTTAGAAATACCATTCTTGTCACATCCTCACTTTATTCAGGTATTTGTCTAACTCCACGCTACTTTCTCAAATTCATTGAACACAATTACCAAACCACTGTAGGAACAAATTTAACATCCAAATTAATGACCCAATCTAATACCTTAAACTTATCATCCCTTACCTATAAAACTATTCTGCTGTAGCACTCATATTCATGGCCACATCCCAAACCTGCATTTTCTAGTGCTTCCAACTACCAAATAGGCATCTTGCTTTATGCTGAACTTACTTATCTTCCTTCTTCCTGTCTGACTAATCCTATCCTTCAACCTTATAGAAAAGCCATTCTTTTTTTTTCTTTAGGTCATCTCAGCAACCCACAGACTCACTGCATGTCTTCTCTGGACTGCACTACCAGTCTCATCCCTGAATGGTATCAGCAGCCCCAAGTATCAAAATCAGTCTCAAGACCTTGGATCCCTTATTTAGCAATATTAAGGCCTTGATCATCCCAATTGTTTGCTCCACACCTTCTCACACAAAAAAGCAAAGTCATCAGATGAGTGGGCAGAGGCACTGGTTTCGACAGAAATACATAACTTCATCCTTACACCCTTTGTTCTCACCAGATAATAAAAACAACACTTACTGAGTGCTCACTGTGTGCTAGTGACTTTGAAATGTTTCACATGCATTAACTAACTCAATTCTCAAAACTCTGTCAGTTAGGTTACTATTATTTTCATCATTTTAAAGCAAATAGGACTTAAACTTACTAAGGGTCTTTCGGCTAATCGTTGGAGTTAGGATTTGAGCCCAAGCAATTTGGTTGAAAGAGCGCATATTCTTAATGTCTACATCAGCAGTTCTAACCAAGGGCACTTTTGCCACATTAGGGGACATTCAGCAATATCTGGAGAATTTTTAGTTGTCACAGTAGTAGGAGAGGCG